AAGAGCGGGTGAAGGGTCCAGGCGATGATTAAGCACCAAGGTTGCAGAGTCCCCGTGTCCTCTGCCGACAGACTGTCCGAGCTCTCCCGGCAGCTGGTCCTTGCCACCTTTCCAGCCCAGTGCCGCCCCCATCATCACCTCCCCCCACCGTCCACATTCCTCTTTCTCCAACCCCACCCTTCTCCCTGCTCTCACCACCTCCAGCAGCAGGACCCACGGGCAGGACCACGGGCGCCGCTGCCCAGCTCCGTGGCCCGTGCCTGAGGCTGCCGCCGCCGCCTTCACACCTGTTCCACACGGAACACAGGGCTCCGCCTCCCTGGCCAGGCGGCCGCTGCTCCTCGATGGGGACCTGCCCTAGGTCACCCAACACAGAGGGAAAGCCCAAGGCTCACCCGAGCCCCATTAACGAGCCGCCCCCCAAGGCCCCCGGCGCTACTGGCACACTGACGGGAGGACAGGTGCACGTGCACATGCGCTTGCACGCACTCGTGTGTACAGGCTCGCACACGCTCTCACGCACATGCAGCCTTTCCTCCACCCACTCACGGGGCACAGGCCTATGGCTGAGGCTGAAGCAGGATCCCGGGGTGTTCGGATCCCTTGGGGCACAGTTCCTCCTGGGGCACCCAGGGCGCTGAGGGGGTCCTGCACCGGCCGGGGGGCCGAGCAGGGGGCGGACGCGCCGCTCATGGGAGGGGCGGAAGACGTCTGGGCCGGGAACCTCCCAAGGACCTTCCCTCCACACATCCCAACTCCCCCAGCACAAGACAGAGCCCTGGAAACAGCCCTGAGCGAGGCGGCAGGGCCCGGGGGAGGCGGGGCGCGGGGGCGCGTGCGCGTGCGGAGCAGGTGACACTCGGGCCCCCGGGAACCTGCTCTTTTCCAGCCCCGGCCCAAGCCCGGCGCGGGTCCGCAATCTGACTCCGGCGTGAAGGGCTCCGTTCCCCGTGGGGCCCTCGACCAGCAGCCCGCGCCCCCCGCCGGGCACTAGGAGGCGGCCGAGAAGGGCACGGAGGCAGAGGAGAGCTCGGCAGACTTGACGATGGTGATGACGCTGGTGGTGGCCACCCTGGTGGGCGTGACGGGGCCGCGGGCCACGGTGCGGGCGAAGGTCTGCAGGGCCTCGTACTTGGAGCGCAGGGCGTCCAGCTCGAGCCT